GTGTCTTTGTTGGAAGAATACCACTTACTAACTTTACGTTAGTCTCTGTGCTAAAGGCTTTACAATTTTTTTTTTCAGTGCACATGAGGCTACTACTTTCCCCACTTTACAAACGAAGGGCTGAGACTTGGAGAGGTTAAGTAACTAACCAGGGTCACACAGCTGGTAGTAAACAGACCACGATTTGGACGTAAAGCTTGTTTCTGTATGGTTGGGTGGCATGCCCTCCATCTTATTAGGGATCCTGATTATTTCTAGAATAGGTCTTGCTACCCTTACCTCTGCCAAGAACCTGGGAAATGAGGTCACTCAGTGTCTTAAATTCAGGTTTCTGTTATTTTTATTTTTTCATACCAAAGTTTAAAATGGTTATGAAGTGAAATCTGCTTTTTCTTTTGTAATTTCTTTAAGCCTAAGAAGTCGTTTTCTCTCTGGTAGCTTGATAAAGATTGTTTTTCCTTATTTCTAGTTTGTGTGTGTATTTTAACTCTATCAGGAATTTATCTTGGTACTAACTTTGTACTTGTCGTTTTAAATTGGTATAATGCTGATGTACCTAAGTAGGTTCAGCAAGTCTTATAGTGCTGGGTATTTAGGTTATTGCTAGAATCCTGCTATGACTACTTGTGCATAAGCCGTGTTTTATTTTATCCTTTTTCTGGTGGTGATGTTAATATTTTTTTAATTTTGTGGTGGCGGTGGTGGCGGGATTTCCTTCTTCTCTTCTTCTGTTGGGATATCATTTCTTTAGGCTACATTTCCACAGCTGAAAATCCCGGAGCAAAGGAAATGAACAGTTACTTATTCAAGTATTTATTGAATTCCTATAAAGTATAGGGCATTGTGATAGGTGCTGAATTGCTGGGCAGCTCTGATTAGTCATGGACAGATAGTTCTGCTTTGGGGCATTTCTGAAGAACTGGTCTTCAGCAGCCAGTACTGTACCTATCAAACCTACATTTTGTTCATTTTAATGTAGGTTGATCCAGTGTAAGTTGATTGTGTTAAAGTTGATATGTTCTTCTAATGGCTCTGGATAGAGTCAGGGTAGTTTATCTTTTATTTCATATGTCTGTTTCTTTAATCAGGGAGAGGAATCTGCCACTGGAAAACTGAAGATCGTTTCACATGTACTAGTCTTTATTTTTTTAAAAAATTCCTTTTGATTGCTGGTTGCATAGTCTGTCTTTAAATTTGTCCCGGTGGATCATCTCAGCAAACTTGTCCTTCTAAAACAATCTTAATATTTACTGAAGTGAAGGGCTTTAATTTTTAGCTTTTAAGATAGGTAAAAAACCCAAGTAAGGCTAGGTTAAAGAAAATGACAACTGCTAGGGAAGTTATCTTCGTGGCTAGATGGGAAATCTCAAAGTAGAATGTTTGTTCACTTTTTAATTGTAGTTTAAGTTACATAATGTGACAGCCTCTTATTTTCTCTGTGGTGTAAATTTCTTCGTAATGAATGAATGAAAAGTATCTTGAAGAGATCAAATGACAGGTTTTTATTCTATTTCAGGAATTCATTTAAACAACAATCTAAACCACTTGAAATTTGGCTTGGATCACCATAGACTCTCTTCCCCTACACAAACAGCAGCAAAGCAAGGGAAAATGGACTTGCCTTCCACAAGGGCAGGAAGTGACAAGATTGTTCTTTTGGTGTGTAATCGAGCCTGCACTGGGCAGCAGGGGAAAAGGTAAAAATCAAGTTATTTTCCAGTAAGTAGTAAGGTGTTAGCAGTCTGATATTTTCAAATGTTTTTAAACAGTGGGGGTGAAAAGTCCTTACTTTCAGTACTTGATTTTTGATTGTGATATTTAGAAACAAGTGTTAAGTTAACCTCATTTTTTAAATTTTTTTAGCGGGGGTATGAAATTAGAAGAATAGAATCTGAGAAAGGCTCTTCAGCCCATCTAGTTTAAAGGCCCATTTCATATGTGTATTTTCAGCTTAGGTTCTTCTTGGGGCTCTAGAGCCTATATCCAGTTGCTTTGCTAGCAGCCTTCCCTTTTCTCCCCCAAATTCTTAACATGTCTACTTGAATGGTGCTGGCACCTCAGATTTAGTCCCCAAACTGAACTTGTTATCTCGCCTTATAAACCTGGCTCACCAGTATTTCCTGTCTCGCCAAATGACACCACTGTTCGTTCAGATGTATAAGCCAGAAATTTGTGAGTTGAATATCTCTCTCAAATCTGTTTCCCTCTGTGAGAATTTATGGGAGTTTAGAATACTTTTTAAAGTAACTGTATCAGAACAGTAACATAATCTGAGTAACAATAAGGGACAGATTAGGGATGCTTCAGGGGAAAAAACCTGTTTTTAATATTTGTCAGGATGACCTCTATGTTAGCCTTTAAATTTTTTTTTTTTAAATTTTATTGTGGTAAAAAATATATAATAAAATGTCTTCCATTGTAACAATTTTTGAGTGTTCAGTTCAGTGACGTTAATTATAATCCACTATGCAGTTTTTCAGCATCCTTAACAGAAACTCAGTACCCCTTAAGCAGTAACCCCCATTTCTGCCTCCCGTGATCCCTGCTAGCCACTGATAAACTTTCGAATCAATATGTTTGCCTATTCTAGATATTTCGTATTAGTTGGAGTGTATAATAATTATCCTTTTCAGTCTGATTTATTTCACTTAGCTTAATGTTTTCAAGGTTTATCCACATTGTAGCATATTTTAGAACTTTATTTCTCTTTATGTCTGAATAATAGTCCAATTTCTGTATATATCACATTTTGTTTATTCATCTGTTGATGGACACTTGGGTTGTTTCTACTTTTTGCCTATTGGGAAAATGCTGTAGTGAACATTGGTGTACATATCTGTTTGAATCCCTCCATTCAAGTCTCGAGTGTATAACTAGGAGTGGAGTTGTAGATCATATGGTAATTTTATGTCTAATTTTTTTAGGAACTGCCATACTGTTTTTCACAGTAGCTTCACCATTTCAGATTCCCACCAGCCATGGATAAGGGTTCTAATTTCTGTACATCCTCTTTAACACTTGTTATTTTCTGTTTTTCTGATCAGAGCCATCATAGTGGGTGTGAAGTGGTATCTCACTGTAGTTTTGATTTGCGTTTTCCTAAAGGAGGAAAAGGAAAAAAACACCAAAATGGATGTCATAAGGGACTCTGAGACTTGCTCTTTGTAGAGTAGCTAAAGCGCAAGGAAGAAATGATAAAGTAAAAGAGCTGAACAGAAGATTTCAAAGGGCAGCTTGAGAAGACAAAGTAGTATAATGAAATGTGCAAAGACCTGGAGTTAGAAAACCAAAAAGGAAATGCTCAGCATTTCTCAAGCTGAAAAAACTGAAGAAAAAATTCAAGCCTCATGTTGTGATATTGAAGGATTCTGTGGGCAAAAAATTGAGTGACACAGGAAATATCAAAAGAAGATGAAAAGAATACACAGAGGCACCGTACCAAAAAGAGTTGGTCGACATTCAGCCATTTCAGGAGGTAGCATATGATCAAAAACCCATGGTACTGAAGGAAGAAGTCCAAGCTGCACTGAAGGCATTGGCAAAAAACAAGGTTCCAGGAATTGATGGAATACCAATTGAGATGTTTCTGGAAGTGCTCACTAGTCTGTGCCACGCAATTTGGAAGACAGCTACCTGACCAACCGTCTGGAAGAGATCCATATATGTGTCCATTCCAAAGAAAGGTGATACAACAGAATGCGGAAATCATTGAACAATGTCATTAATATCACATGCAAGTAAAATTTTGCTGAAGATAATTAAAAAACGGTTGCAGCGGTACGTTGACAGGGAACTGCCAGAAATTCAAGCTGGATTCAGAAGAGGACATGGAGCGAGGGATATCGTTGCTGATGTCAGATGTATCTTGGCTGAAAGCAGAGAATTCCAGAGAGATGTTTACCTGTGTTTTATTGACTACATAAAGGCGTTTGACTGTGGATCATAACAAGTTATGGGTAACATTGCGAGGAATGGGAATTGGAACTTAATTGTGCTCATGCAGCATAAGAAATCAGTTATACACCCAAGTTTGGTGAGTAGTGTCTCTGGGGTCTCAAAAGCTTTCAAGTGGTCATCTAAGATAAACTATTGATCTCTGCTCGTATGGAGCAAAAGAGAATGAAGGAAATCAAAGGCTCAAAGAATAAGCTAGCCCATGGGACTAATAGCCTACAGGAACCACATGCTTTTCAAAACTAAGACCAGAAGAACTTGATGCTGCTGACTACCACTACTGACTGTTCTGACCAGGGACACAATAGAAGGTCCCGTATAGAATAGGAGACAAATGTAGAACAAAACTCAAATTCCTAAAAAAGGCCAGACCTATTGAACCGATAGAGATTAGAGGAACCCCTGAGACTATTGCCCTAAGATACTCTTTGTACTTGGAATTGAAGCTGTTTGTGCAGGTCATCTTTCAGCCAAATAATAGATTGGCTTATAAAATAAACAATATCACCTGTGAGTAATAGGATCCCTTAAACAATTACCTGTATGAGACCAAATCAGTTACCTAGAAGCAAAGATGAGAAGGCAAGAAGGAGAAGGGAAGCTAGATCAATGGAAACAGAACAAACAGAACGGAAATAATGAGAATGCTGACACACTATAAAAATTATAACCAATGGCACAGAACGATTTGTATAAAAATTGTTGAAAGGGAACCTGATTTGCTGTGTAAACTTTTACCTAAAACACAATAAAATATTATTTAAAAAAAAAAAAAAGCTACTGGAGAGATTTAAGTAGAGAAGTAGCATGATTTAAAAAAAAAAAAAAAAATCAAACGACGTATTGCATTGACCAAATCTGCAGAAAACCCCTTTAAAGTGTTAAAAAGCAAAGATGTCACCTTTGAGGTCTGACCCTAGCCATGGTATTTCCTGTCCCTCACATGCATGTGAAAGCTGGACAATGAGTAAGGAAGAGCGAAAAAGAAACTGATGCCTTTGAATTATGGTGTGTTGGTGAAGAATATTGAATATATACCACGGACTGCCAGAAGAACGAACAAATCTGTCTTGGAAGAAGTATAGCCACAATGATCCTTAGAGGTGAGAATGGTGAGACCTCTTCTTATGTACTTTGGACATGTTATCGGGAGGGGCCAGTTCCTGGAGTAGGACATCACGCTTGGTAAAGTAGAGGGTCAGCGAAAAAGAGAAAGACCCTTAACGAGATGGATAACCCAGTGGCTGCAGCAGTGGGCTCAAACATAACAACAATGGTGAGGATGGTGCAGGTCAGGCAGTGTTTCTTCCTGCTGTCTGTAGTGTTGCTATGAGTTGGAATGGACTCAACGGCACCTAACAGTAAGAACAACAACAGTGACTGCTGAGGTCGAGCATCTTGTTATGTGCTTATTGGCCATTTGTATATCTGCTTTGGAGAAATGTCTGTTGAGTTCTTTTGCTCATTTTTTTGATTTTTTTATTTTTGATGCTGAATTGTAGGAGTTCTTCACATGTTTTGAATATTAAACCTTTATCTGATACGTGGTTCTCAAATATTTTCTCCCATTTTTTAGGTTGTCTTCTCACTTGTCTGATAAAGACCTTTGATGAAGAAAAGTTTTTAATTTTGATGAAGTCCAGTTTACGTATTTTATCTTTTGTCGCTTAGACTTTTGGTATCATATCTCAGTGTCCATTGCCTAAAAGAAGATCCTGAAGCTGTACTGCTGTTTTTTTCTTAGAGTTTTGTGGTCTTAGTTCTTATATTTGGGTCACTGATCCAGTTTGAGTTAATTTTCCTATAGGGTTGTGGGTCTAACTTCATTCTTCACTCTTTTGCATGTGGAGATCCAGTTGTGCTAGAACCATTTGTTAGAGACTATTTTTTCCCCATTGAATGGATTTGTTACCCTTGTTGAAAACCAATTGGCCATAAATGTCTAAGTTTCTTTCTGGACTCTCAATTCTATTTCATAGGGTCAATATGTCTATTCTTATGTCAGTACCATGCTGTTTTAATTACTGTAGCTTTGTAGTATATTTTGAAATCAAGAAATGTGAGTCCTCCTACATGGTTCTTCTTTTTTCAAGATTGCTTTGTCTGTTAAGAACCCCTCCAGCTCTATATGAATTTGAGGATTGGCTTTTCCATTTTTGCAAAAAAGGCTGTTGGAACTTTGATATGGATTATATTGAATCTGTAGATTGCCGTGGGTAGTATTGATATCTTAACAATATTAAGTCTTCCAATCCATAAACGCCAGATGTCTTTGCATTTATTTAGTTCTTTTTATATTTCTTTCAGCAATGTTTTATAGTTTGCAGCGTACAAGTCTTTCACTTTCCTGGTTAAATTTATTCCTAAGTATTTTATTTGTTTAGATGCTGTTGTAAATTGAATTGTTTTCTTAATTTCCTTTTCAGATTGTTCACTGCTTGTGTATAGAAACACAACTGATTTTTTTTTCAAGTTGAGTATATTTATTTATTTATTTT